ACAAAATATGTCTTATATAGGGCAAATGACTATGGTGGGTATTCTATACGACTAGAACTACTCATTTTAATACTTTGATAGAGCACATGCCTTAGTGAAAATAAAATTTAGTAAAGGAAAAAAGGGAAAGAGAAGGAAAACATTTAGAACACTTCATGCGTGCTTTGGTAGAGTGCATTTCTGACCTTCCCACAACTCCTGTCTTTGGTCTGTAGGGACCCTCTGTGGGGTTCATGCAGGGGAGGCCTGGGACCGGCCTGGTGGGTCAAGGATGGGGATTCAATGGGCGCGCCTCCTAGTTCACTCTCACCTTGTTCAGCCTTACCTGAAGGAAAGTAGACTGCTAAGTGTTGACGCGTTTTTTCCTACACCAACTTGCACTTTCTTCCCAGAAAAATGGCCTATGCCCCAAACCAGGGGCTGGGTAGGGGCACTGGCCAGTGTTTGCAGATTCCCATGGCGCCCACGGTCCTGAGCACGGGACTTAGGACATAGATGATGCTCACTCAGTACGTAGTTGTTCTTGAATCGACCAGTGAGTACTAAAGTTTTATCTCTACCGCAGTCATCAACATATAATTCTATTTCTCACTTATTTATTCAACATAGATGAGTTGATTGACTCCTCCAGGCCCTTACTGTTCTGGCCCAGAGAAGGGGATGTGGATAAGCACACAGATCAACAGCACGTAGGCTTTGACGTCCAGGTGTTCATTTTTTTATAGGGGACAGAGATCCGTGGACAGTGAAAGCTAGATGGAAATGTACTTGCACATAACCTTCCTTATGTAATTATATTGGCTAAGGCACTTAAGCAGCCACCTAGAACTGCCAGATCCCAGAAGAAGATAAATCTAATGTAAATAGACACACTGTCACACAATCATAAGCACTGTAATGAAGACACGAGATACGTGTTGCTTCTTCATTCTCCTAATGTGTATATTTTCTCAACTAGACTTTGAGTCCTTAAGCCCAGCCCCGTGCTGGTTTCATGATAACGGCCATGAGGCTGGTGATAAGAGTAATAATGACAACAATAATGAAAACTCTTGTTGAATGCTCCCTGTGTGTCAGGCATGATGCTAAGCGCTAGACATGCGTTATTGCATCCTCTCAATTTATTTTTACAGTGTGTTCAGTGTCACACAATTAGTAAATAGCCCACACACATACAGGCATGTTAGTTAATAAAATTGAATCATTTCACTGCTTACCTACCATCTAGAGTCCCATCTGCCTTATGGTAGATCTTACTACACCTAATTAAGCAAACAAAATTTTAATTTCATATATATATATATGTGTGTGTGTGTGTGTGTATATGTATATATATGTGTGTGTGTATATATGTATATATGTGTGTGTATATGCGTGTGTGTGTATATATATATATATGTGTGTGTGTGTGTGTGTGTGTGTGTGTGTGTGTGTGTGTGTATAAAATTGTTTGTTTTCCCTCAAAGCATTGTGCCATTCTGAGCAGCATTTGCCCTGCTTCAGAAAAATGCTGGGCCACAGGGAGTGGCTTGTTGTTCAACAAATAGGTGCGTGCACTTTTCAATTGAGCCTTTATTCTTTACAGCTTTGAGCAGCTGAATAGTTAACAGGGGGCAAGTGGCCAATGCCTTTGGGGTGTTAGAATAGGAGAGAGGCCAAGAGGCCACTGACCTTGCAGTGATGGCCTGGGGCTTCAGACCTCGCGGATCAACAAGCCCTGTGTGACAGAGACGCCTCTGTGCCCAATGGATGACCTTTCACCCCCAGTCGGTCTGCTCATTGACTATATCTTAATCCTGGAGCAAGTTGTTGATTTGTGTTGGTTTTGTATTGTGTTGTTCATTCGGGGAGTCATACTGGGAGGAAAGGGAGATGATCTGACACAGAACAATTAACTATACCTCAGAACCTTCTCTACCTGACAGTGGATTTAGCTTGGAGATTTGGTAGAGCTGATGGTTTTATCACAGTGAAGCAAGATAAGCTTACCGGTTGAGATAAATAGAATGTCAAAATCTAAATACAGTAGCTCTGAGAAGACATAGACTCATTCATCTCCTTTCCCTTTTGTACCAGGGTAATCAGCACTCCACTGACAGGCTTAGCTGGTGACAAAGCTCCAGGCAGCCTGGAAGGACTGAAAGCACACTCCCTTAGCAGGACACACACCTGCAGCGCCGCGCTCTCAGAGAGCTTGCCTGACATACCCGACTTCTTTTCAAGTTCAGTGCTATCCTAGTTTCAGATCCACGTGAAACACAAACAATCTTCTGAACAGATCTCCAAAATTATGTACTTATCAAACATCAATACCTGCCTTTTGGGGACAAAGGAGCATCTGGTTGAAGTCAAGAGAATGGGCTATTTGATTCTGCCCTGGGAGCCAGCCCCGTTTCCTTATCACAGGAGCCGTGTTGTGTCCTCCCAGGTGTTACACACAGCGGCCTGCTATCACGAGAAGTGTCCAGTGGAGTCTGTGGAGAGAATGGCCACCGACTGCCTCGAGGCAGCATCTGTGTGGGGTTGGCAGAGCAGCTGGGGTTCAGGCTGACAGGAGCTGACCTGACCATGTCTTTCTGCCAACCCCCTTGGCTGATCCCCGTTAGCTGCAGTCTCTTTTCCTTCCTTCTTGTTCAGGGGAAACAATGGGC